GGGCAACTTGGCAAGACCTCATCTCTACAGTAAATCAAAAAATTAGCCGGGCATGGTGGCATATGCCTGTAGTTCCAGCTACTTGGAAGGCTGAGGTGGAAGGATCTCTTGAGCCCAGTAGGTTGAGGCTGTGATGGTTGGGAACATGCCACTGCCCTCCAGCTGGGTGACAGAGTGAAACACCAACTCAAAAAAAGAAAGAAAAAAGATATATCACAGAGGAGTCAGCATCCTTTGGGAAGAGTCACAGCCACCAAGGACCTGCATGGCTGGAATGTTCCATTTTAGCAAGGTATAGAGACTGCAATAAAACACTAGTCTTGCTCTCCACCTCCCATACCAGCCTTCCCTCTGACTTTCAGGATCAGAGTTCTAAAGTCTTTCTAAGAAAGTAGATTTGAGAGGCAGGTAGTGATCATAAGCTCAACCCAATATCATGCTTTCAGGCTGAGTGATGCTAGTTTCTATAGAAAATTGTGGTTCTGGAAAGGCAGTCTGGCTATCTCATCTCCCCTGGCCTATACTCTTTATGACCACAGTTGGTCAAAGGGCCAGCTGCCCTAGAGCCCTCCTTCCCGAGAAAAGTCCCCTAGGGTGACCCTTTGACCTAACAGATGAAAATGTTTGGTACCTGCCAGGACAAGGAATCTGGAAGGGAAAGTAGATAGAGAGGAAGAAGAAGGGACCTGGGATGTGCAGGTTTCCAAAGCAATAGCCGGCAGTGCCAGCCACCACGTGGGCCCCACGGCCTGTACACTGGACATCTCGAATCCGGCCCCCTGTGCCTGTGGTTGCACCACTGAAGGGAGATACTCCTACAAAGAGAATGAGGAGAAAGGTCTGGGTACCTCAGAGACAAACCCCATGTCTGATCCCCCACACTGAAAACAAGGACAACCAGTGTCTCTGGTTACCCTATGCCCAGCCCAGGGGCCTGGGACCTTTGCCCTACCCTACTCTCTGATCTCACCTAACCCTGCAGGGAAACCAGCTCACCTGTGGGAAAGTTGTGGGTCTCTGCTGTGAAGACAACATGTCTCAGCCTCTGCTGATGCTGGAGGCAGCTTGGCTGTGTGGGGTCCTCAGGTTGTAGGAATCGGACTTCCTTGCCCTGGATTGCACTGTGGACACATCTGTTCTGGACCCTGCTTCCTTTCCCCTCCCCTCCCCCAGGCCTGATACCACCCCAGTCTAGGCACAGCTCACCTGCTGTTGTCACAGAACTTGAGAATGTTGTTTGGGTTCGAAGATGCCTGGGTGCTCATGATGGACTCAAACAGAGAACATGCCAACTTCTGCCCATCCATATAGAGTTGGCCCTTGAAGAACCAGTGTCGGCTATGCTCACTGCAGAGGTGATGCAGGGAGGGGAAGGCAGGGTGAAAACAGGGTCATTTCTCAGTGCCATGTCTTCTTACCTCACTTAACAGCAGAGTTACGGTCAATTCACACTTAGGTAATAGGTCAAGATATATCCCAAAAGGTCATAATCTTCAAGTAATCTGTCATTGTGTATTATCTAGAGCCAAAGTGAAGATAAAACCAAGATGTGAACATAGGCTCCTAAATGAATGAGGAGCTCAGGCCCTTAAACAGACCCTGGGAGGCCCTAAGCCAAGGGAGAGTCATGAAAAGTATTCTTGTAGTGTCCCCTGCCAATCTCCATGGGCTCAGATATCAGAACGATCCCATTCCTCCCCACCTATTGGACTGAGCCAAGTCAAAGGCCTCCACGGTGCTGGGGTTCCTCTGCAGCTCCTGAAAGCGCTTGGTGTAGAAGTCCAGATCCCAGGAATCTAGGGCCAGACCTAGGAGATAGACCCAGAAAGAGCTGACAGTGGAACTCAAGTGGCTACATTTCTAGTCTCAGCACTCCTACTAGCCTATCTGGGCCCTCTGCCTCCTCTTGCCAGGGACCCCTGCTCACCTAGCTCCTCATTGGCCTTCTCCAAAGCAAGCCGGCCTTCAGCCAGTATGTTGATAGGGCCATTGAGGGGTGCTGGGAGGCTCCCAGGGGAGAAACTCTGGATGGGATGGGGGAAGTGCTGCTCCGTCATCCGGTCATGCAGAGTAGCGAGAGCAACAGCCTTCACCTCAGCTGAAGGAGGATGGGCAAACTAGGGGAAGAGACAAATACAGTGGGCAAGGGGTGGAGAGCTGAAGAATGGAGAGAAATGGCCCATCCTTAACCCTGCAAATCATGCATAGCCAGCCCACTGCCACCCATATGGCACCTTGTTCAGATTACAAAAAGATACTCTTTACAGACATATGTCCATGCCAGGATGCACAGATTAGTACAGGAGGCAAAGACTGGATTTCTGTACTCTTTACCTCTCAGCCAGGTACTCTCAGGTAGTCAACAATCTGTATAACCATAAAGGGCAGACCTAAAGACAGGAGCTCCTCCCCCTGCTCCTTCCTAGAGTTTAGGATCCAGTCTCTTATCTCTGGCCCATCTTCTCCTGATTTTCAACCCAGATTGCCCACCACCTCACCGAGAGCCGGTAGCGCCGAGTGGTCTCCACACGATCCACAGCCCCCAGCCCAGCGGCATGGCACACCGACACGATGTTGGTAGATGTTGGGGTGGAGAAGTTCAGCCTGAGCAGTAGGCCAGATGGTTAGGACCAGAGAGCCTTTGGCAGGTCTCAGCTGGGACCGACTGACCGCTGTCCAGCTAATCTCCCGTGGCTAATGCCTCATCACTGGCCTCCAGCCCCAGGCTAGACTCCAAGAAATCTTCTTTCAAACTAAACCACACCAAACCAAACCCAAACTGTCCTTCCAGCATCAAAACTGCTTTGAATTTAACATCTCAGAATGTGACTTATTTTATTTCCAGAACATGCTGGGGAGCTGGCTTAGTCTTCAGAGGCATCTAAGCAAATGGGGAAAGCCCATGTATGGCTTCCTAGGTGGGGAGTAGGATAGAGTAAAGAAAAAACATATCTCCCACAGATCACAAAGGAAGTAGAGGAATGGAAGAAGGGGTGGGCAGCGTGTTTCAAAGGGATGATGTGCTTTGAAATGTGGCACAAGTTGCTCTAGAATGAGACACTTACCTGGGCCCGACCTCCAGCAGCAGGTCACTGGATCCAAGAAGGAGCCAGGACTCCTGAGCAACATCATTCAGCAACAAGGGGCAGCCAAATAGCCACATCAGCTTCTTCATCTCCTCAGCACTTGGGAGGGCCTCAGCTGCTGGGAGACAGGGCAGGGATATCTTGAAATACTGCCCCTGGCACTGGGTACATCCCCCAAGAATCCAATACCTGGGCCCAACCTGTCCAGTTCACATTGTAGCAAAGCTCAGTCTCAACACCCTGCAGCTCTGGAAGTTTAACTTGCAGTTTCCTTTGAGTGTGTCCAGAGGCTGCCCCCTCGTGGCCAGAGGGATGGACATAGAAGTGAAGGACTGGAGACATCTCTGGAGGTGTCCTTGCTGGAGTTAGATTCCTAAAAAATAACATTAACTATAGTCTACCTGTTGAACTGATTTCAAGTGTCAAGAACAGTTGCGGCATTAGGGATGCGGTAGAGGAAAGTAATATGGACATTTCGAGAAACAAAGTAACTTGAAAAATGTAACCTTGGGTATTTTAACTAATTTTGTCAAATGGGGGAGACAAGTGGAGATACATCCTTGACACATGTTCCTGAAGCACCTGTACTTTGCTGGGCCATAGGCAAGGACTTGTGAACAAGACAGGAACCATTTCTGCCCTCACAAAGTTCACATTTTATTAAGGGAGAGAGGCAAGTACCCAGGCATTTCCAATCCAGTGTGGTTAAGGCCAGGGGACTGTGGGCACCAATCTAGCATTTTAGGAATCAGGAAAGATTTCTGGAAAGAAATGGTATCTGTTATGGACTGAATGTTTGTGTCTCCCTTTCTCCCAACTGATATGTTCAACCCCTAGTCCTCAATGTGATGGTATTTGGAGGTGAGACCTTTAAGGGGTAATCAGGTCATGAGGGTGGAGTCTTTATAAGAAGAGGTTAGAGAGCTAGCTTTCTTTCCACCATATGAAGGTATAACTAGAAGTGAGTAGTCCTGCTACCTAGAAGAGACTCCTCACCAGAATCTGACCATGCTGGAACCCTGATCTCTGACTTCTAGCCTCCAGAATTAGGATAAGCGAATTCTGTTATTTATAAGCCACTCAGTCTATACTTTTTATAGCAGCCCAAATGGACTAATCTTAAACCTGGAGGATGAGTAAGTTAGACGTGCCTGATTGGTGAAGTCAATTGACAGTTCCTCCATATCAGTGCTTTCAAAAAATTGTGTTCTTGCTCAAAGGACACTCAAAGACCTTCCATACCTATTCCAAACTACCTATCCAACTTCTGATCCCATTACTTCTCAGCAGGACCTTGGCTTTATTTACCAAACCCTGCCTGGTCTCTCCCTTCTTTGCACCCTTCCTAGAATGCCCATGCCTACACCCCATCCTGTCCATTCTTCAAGATGAGCACAGGTCTCACGGACTCTGGGAAGTCCCCCCTGCTGCCCTAGCACTTAGGGTCACCTTCCTCCTCAGCAAAGCTGCGGACTTCTGATCTGCACCATTAATTCGGCCACAATCATGCACAGGGGGCTCACAGATATACACTGCCTCTTCCTAAGAAGCAGAAGATTGAACCAAAGAAAGTGCCAGCATTCAAGCGATTTTTTTAAAACCAAAAATGGTAAAGTTCACATGGTTAAGTTATTATCTGCCAATAGACACCATAATTTCACCCAATGCTGGCTCCCCTAGAAACTCCACACTAGTACCTCCACATAGATGTCTCATAAACACAGAGAATAGCCTGTTATGGCCAAAACAGGAATTTTGATTTATCCTTTCTGTTCCCTTAGTCTTCCCCATCTCAGCAAATACTACCGTCATCCAATTAGTTGCTCGAACTAAAAACACAGACCTTAATTCTTCTTTCCTTCAGACTCAATAAACCCAATCTACCAGCAAATCTATTTCCAAACATATCTTAAATCTTTCATTTTTCCATATTTATTACTTCACTCTGGTTCAAGGCACCACCATCAAGCACCTGGACTAATAATGCATTGGCCTCCTGACCAGTCCCCTGATTCCACTACTGCCCGGCCATAATTTATTTGTCACATATCAGCATAAAGTAGATCATGGCTTCACATCACACACTGTATACATTCCAACTCAGTACCGATTCTTACCAGGAGTTGGAAAGCCTCTTCAACCCTATCTCACATCATTCCCTTTCTCTCCTAAAATGCACCAACCACACTAGCTTCTTTTCTACTTCTAACTTGCCAAGCTCAGTAAAGGAAGGTATTTTTTTTCCACCCTGATACGTGCATGGCTAACTCAATCTTGCTATTTAGATTTTTCAGGTGAAATTTGCCTTCTTGGAAAGGCCTCATCTGACTAGTCACTCTTAACAACCACTATCAGATGGCCCTATTTTAACTTTCTATAAAGTACTTATCACTGATATTTTTATTTTTTCACTCTATATTCCCACTAAAACTCAATCTCCATGTGGGTGGGCTGTTGCTGCTTCATTTTCATTGAATTACCAAGGCTTGGAACGATACCTGGGCTTAAAAAGTAAAAGAAAAAAATTATAAAACATGTCGGTTTGCCACCAGCCTGGGCAACTTGGTGAGACCTCGTCTCCACAATATAACAAAAAATCAGCTGGACGTGGTAGCAGGCGCCTGTAGTTCCGGCTACTTGGAAGACTGAGGAGGAAGGACCGCCTGAGCCCAGCAGGTTGACGCTAGGGTGACCTTGAGCGTGCCACTGCAATCCAGCCTGGGCGACAGAGTGAGACTCACTCAAAAAAACCCCCAACAAAACAAAATTTGTTGACTGGCCGAATAACTGATTCTCACCACTCCTCAACTCCTCCCCTCCTTTCAGGACAATCTTCCTGAAATCATTTTATTAAGCCACTTGATTTTCAGCTATCATTCCCAGGAAAATATGTTACAAAAGCGCGGGAACAGGGTTCGCCTGCATGAGAGTTGTATCCCCAACGACTATCATGGTGCCTGACACAAAGTAGTCAGACGAAAGATTTTTTTTTTTTTTTTTGAGTTGGAGTCTCACTCAATGTCGCCCAGGCTGAAATATAGTGGAACGATCACGGCTCACCGCAGCCTCGACCTTCTGGGCTCAGGCGATCATTCCGCCTTAGCCTACAAAATAGCTGAGACTACAGGCGTGCGCCACATCGCCCGGTTAAGTTTTTAAAACATGTTTATAGAGATGAGGTCTCGTTTATGTTGCCTAGCCTGGGCTCAAACTCCTGATCTCCTCTCGCCTCGGTCTCCTAAAATGCTGAAATTACAGGCTTGAGCCACCTCGCCCGGACCGGCCGACACATTTTCTGTTTGTTAAATGCATGAATGGGACAGAGGGGCTGAATTTATACGAGGGTCGCCCATGGCCGGCGTGTGCTGAACGCACGCCGAATGGACGCCTTCACTAAAGGAAGCGCGTGGACCCCGGCTGGACACAGCTTGACCGGATGGGGATACTGAAGCGACCTGGATCAGGCTTGGGGTGGGGAAGAAGGGCTACATGTGGCAGGTGGCTACAGGCCCACGCGCAATAACTATACTCACGTGGACGTTGAACTCGTGTGCCCCAGAGCGCCTCGAAATGTGGCACGCTGATTACGTCACCCGCGTGCGCCGCACGCAAAAATCAAGCCTGCAAGCGCCTCGGCGACTACGCCCCGCCCACTTCCTCCTGCTGTGAGAGGAGCCGACGCCGCGCCGGCTCTTGGTTCTAGGCTTATTCCCCAGGTGGTTTCTCCCAAAAGTGTTTTGTATTACGTTTGTGAAAATACATTAAGTTCCGTGTCCCCGCGGGGACAGTTAAATAATTATATCAGCGATTTAAGGCATAACACAAGTATGAATGTTGTGTTCTGTCTGCAATAAGATCTCTGGCCAGATCAGGGAGATTGGAAGATGCTTCGGAGTTACCAACCAGGCGGGTCACCCCATCCCGCGTGAAGGCCCGCGGGAAGCCAGACAGGATGTCACTGAGAAGGGCGACAGGGCTGTCGGGAGGCGGGGGTGGTGTACAAAAAGCCCTCGACTTGGTCCCAAGGAGGCAGGGTGGGGAGGAGCCGGGAAGGAGCTGGAGGTGGAGCCGGGGCATGCCTGGCGGTGACGTCACCAGGCGCCCTCCCGTGCGCGTCGGCCCCTCCCAAGGGCGGAGCTTCGGCGTATCATGGCGGTTAGCAGGGCTGAGGCTCCAACCTCCGTGAGTGCTGCTGTTCCGTCTCTTGTCCTTTTTTTCTTGTCTCAGATTTCCTTTTTTTCCTGTTCCCTCCGCCTTGTGTCTCTGGAATCGCTGGCGCTGCCTGGGCCGGGGATTAGAGACTTGTTAGTTGGTTCGCTCCTACTTCTTACAGGTTCTGCGAATGTTTTTATTTCATGCGGCGCCCACTGTAAGCCTCAAACGCGTCTCCGTCCTCTCTTTTGGGTTAAGCCCAGTGGGTAACCAGGAGCAGGTTAATCGGGGGGAGCTATGAGGCTGCGCGTTTTTGGAGAAGACCCCTGACGCAGCTATAGGGGAAAAGGGCAACTGAAAATTAGGAAAATCCGGGACCCGAAGCGCGTGTAGGAGTCGGTCGGCGAGGCAAAAACGCGCCGAATAAAGTTTCAAGGAGGGCCAGGCGCGGGGGCTCACGCCTGTAATCCTGGCACTTTGGGAGGCGGAGGCGAGAAGATTGCCTGAGCCCACGAGTTCGAGACCAGCCTGGGCAACTTAACTTGGTGAGCCCTCGTCTCTACAATAAATCAAAAACAGCCGGGCTCGGTGGCTTAGCCTGTAATCCCGCGCCTTGGGAGGCTGAGGTGAGTGGATTGCCTGAGCCTGCGGGTTCGAGACCTGCCTGGGCAACTTGGTGAGCCCTCATCTCTACAATAAATCAAAAATTAGCCGGGTGTGGTGGCGCGCGCCTGTGATTCCAGCTACTTGGAAGGCTGAGGCGGGAGGATCGTCCGAGCCCAGCAGGTCAAGGCGCTGTGGCCGTGAGCATGCCACTGCATTCCGCCTGGGTGACAGTAAGACTGACTCAAAAAAAAAAAAATTCTGATTATGTTTGAGAGAGTGTTTGGCCGACGTGGGGTGAAGGTCAGTGGTAGGGCTGTCCACAAGGATGCTGAAGTCATCTAGAACTTGAAGACTGATTTTCAAGCTGCTTAAGATTCGATGAATGTGAAAGATTGAACAGAAAGTTAATACAGGACTGTTGGAGGACCAGGAATGGAACTGTAATGATCTAGAAGTAGCATTATAGATAAAGAAGGGTAAAGGCCCTAAATACTGTTGAACTTTACCAGAATTTTATTTTATTTTAATTTTTTTTTTTTTGAGTTGAAGTCTCACTCTGTCGCCCAGACTGGAGTGTAGTGGCTGCTCCCGGCCACCGCAGCCTCGATCTGCTGGGCTCCGGCGATCCTTCCACCTCAGCCTTCCAAGTAGCTGGAACTACAGGCACGCGCTACCACGCCCGGCTGATTTTTTGATTTATTGTAGAGATGAGGTCTTGCTGCCCAGGCGGGTCAATTTTTTTTTTTTTAAGTTGAGCTCTCTTTCAGGCTGAAGTGTAGTAGTGTGATAATGGCTCACCACAGCCTCAACCTTCTGGGCTCAGGCGATCCTCCTGCCTGAACCTCCTGAGGGGACTACAGGTCCATGCCATCATGCCTGGCTAATTTTTAAATTTTTTTGTAGAGATAAGGTCTCACTTTGTTGCCTAGTCTGGTCTCGAATTTTGGTCTCAAGTCATCCTTCTGTCTCGGCCTCCCAAAATGCTGGGATTACCAGGTGTTAGCCACTATGCCTTTCTGCCAGAATTTTAAAATAAAGCTGTGAAACAGTAAGAGTAGTCCAAGATGGTTCCCTGCCCTAAAGCTATCTACTTTGTGTTCAGAATCTGTATGAAGTGTATAAAGGCAGAACAGAAGACAAATCCAGTGGAATTGTATCTTGCATATATTTACTTATGTGAGCTCAAATGCATACATGTAAATTTAAAAAAGGAAATGATTATAATGTATACTTTGCCTGTGTTCCTTTTTTTTTTTTTGAGTTGGAGTCTCACTCTGTTGCCCAGGCCCCAGACTGGAGTGCAATGGCACACTCATAGCCACTGAAGCCTCAACCTGTTGGGTTCAGGCGATCTTTCCGCCTCAGCCTTCCAAATAGCTGGAACTACAGGCTTGCCCTACCACGCCTGGCTTATGTGTTCTTTTTATGTACTATCCACTATTAGGCACATTTACATATACATATTACAGTATAGTACTATGTCCTATTCTTTATGAAGAATTTAAAGGATTTTTTTTTTTAAGGATTTTTCCATGGAGTTTTTGCCCATTCTTGCTGACTGTAGAACTAGAGTCCATGTAAGATGGGTTACTGCTGAACATGGTGATCATTGCTCTTAATAGAAGTGTATGCAAGGACCTGTGGAAGTTTTCAGGAAAGAGTAGCATTCAGCCTACGGTGGTCAGAGAAAGGTCTATAGGAGAACATATATTCCAGCTGAGCATTTTAATGATTAGTACAAATTTGTTAGGGAAAGAAGCAAGACCAAAGCCAGATGGCCAGCTGTGTAAGGTAACTATATGATTAGATTAAGACTCTCAAGGTTTCTTCAAGTTCTAAACTCCTTTACTTCAATCTTCATTTTATGTGCTCTCTGGCTTTTTTTTCTAATCCTTTTCTTCCCAAAAGCTTCCTTGGTGGGCAGGACAGACATGATGTTTTAACTAAATTCACTTTTCCTCAGGAACAAGCCTGGCTTCAGCTTGCCCAGACCTTCATCCAAGAGACCCTGTGTCCAACTGACAAGGAGCCTAATGTCCAACTGACTCAGTTGGTAATTGATTGTGTGAAGGCTACCTGGTTATCCCAGGGAAGGAACCAGGGTTTTACACTGCCCCTCAGCTACAGGTAAGGAGAAGTGGGAGTTGGGAGGAGGTTGAATTTGGGATTGAAAAGAAAGGACCTATATTAGGAAAAGGGGAAGTGAGAAGAGTGAGTGGAGGTCAAGGTGTTCTAAACACATCTACTTCTGCAGAACTTCCCCATTCTTCATCAAGCTTTGGCTTAAGACAAGTTTAGAGAAAAGGAGAGGAAGAAGGGAAGAAAAGCCAGCTCGGTGGCTCAGCCTGTAATCCCAGTGCTTTGGGAGGCTGAGGTGAGTGGACTGCCTGAGCCCGCAGGTTCGAGACCCGCCTGGGCAACTTGGCGAAACCTCATCTCTACAATAAAATAAAATAAAATAAAAAGTCAACCGGGCATGGTAGCGTGTGCCTGTAATTCCGGCTACTCAGAAGTCTGAGGCGGAAGGATTGCCGGAGCCCAGTGGGTCGAGGCTGCAGTGGCCGGGAGCAGCCACTGCACTACAGTCTGGGTGACAGAGTGAGACTCTCCAACTCAAAAAAAAAAAAAGAAGGGAAAATAGAAAATTTGTAAAGGGAGCTCTCAAAGTAGGAGAGAAAGGGTATTATCTTTATTTTCTGTATTAGGATACTAAGATATAGAGAGATATATGACTTCAAGTAAAGATCATTGTGTTTAAGACCAGAATTTTAGGTCTTCTGTGAATTTTTTTTATATTTGATTTTTTTTTTTAAACTACGCTATCATTTCCAAAAGGTACCAAGAAATGTTAGTAAAGTACCACAAGAAAAGGGATTTATGGCTGAGTAAATTTGAGAGACATTGACTATAAATAAATAACTGTGGCAATGCAAGTGAGTGAGAATAATAGTATTATAAAAATGTGAATTTATCACAACTTTGATAATTTAATTCTTATTTGTATCACATCCAATACCCACCATCTCAGCCTCAACTTCCCACCCAGTCTCTAGTACTGTGGTACTTTAGGAAGGAAACTTGGCTAGGTCCATTGTGGTTGAGCTATTAGGCAGATGCCAAAGTGGTCCCACTGAAGTTCTTTATGAAACTAAGAACTGAGGTGCTTTCAGGGAAGCTGCTTGTGGTATCTACAAAGTATTCTCCCTATACACTCATTTCCTCAGGCCCTTCTTACATTCCTACTTCATTTCTCTGGGCCATTTCTGCAGCACCATCTTGTTCAAGATACTGTTTAGCACAGAATTTCATCCTACTTTCCTTAGGTACTGCTCATCCTTTGGACCCAGATACCATCCCCATTTTCATAGGCTTTTATTCCCAGGCTTTTCCCCTTGATCAGTCAGACAAACTTACTCCTTAGTCTGTGTTCCTCTTCGCCCTTTCCTTAGGCTCTTGGGGATTTGCTGGGGTGGAAGGCTACCTTCTAGCTTGAACCTGGCTTTGCAAGACCTCTGCTCTCTTCCCTCCACAGCTTTGTCTCAGTACAGGACCTCAGAACCCACCAGCATCTCCCTTGCTGTAGCCATCTGTCCTGGAGCAGCAGTGCATACCGTGCTTGGGCCCAAGAGGTTGGACCAAATGGGACCCCCTTGCCTCGGGAGCGGCTGTTACTCTTAGGGACACTAACAGACCTGTCAGAAGACTCAGAAAAAGAGTGCAGGAATGGAAGCCTCTATGTGAGAGATAACACAGGAATCCTGGGCTGTGAGGTGAGTGGAAGGTGGAGGTCAGATGCCTCAGATCCTAACAAGAATGGTGTCCAGAGAGCAAGGCAATTAAGGGAACAAAGGGGGAGGTGGATGGATCATGTGTTAGGGTCTGGATTAACCCTTGCTCTTGGTCTCTTCTAGCTCATAGATCTGGACCTTTCTTGGTTGGGCCATCTCTTTCTGTTTCCCAGTTGGAGTTACCTCCCTCCTGCCAGATGGAATTCTTCAGGGTTAGGGCACGTGGAGCTCTGGGGTGCCCCTGTGCCAGTGTTTCCTTTGACCATCAGTCCTGGTCCCCTCATACCTATTCCTGTCCTCTATCCAGAGAGTGCTTCCCGCCTGCTCACACTCAGGTAATTCTTCCCTTTCTAAAGGTGGAGGGAGCACTGTGGAACTTGGAGGATGACAGTGGGTCTGTGGTGGGAGGGAAAGAAAGGTATTGGTAGAAATATAGATGGAATATTCCAGATCAAGGGAATGATAGGGGTCTGAATGTTAAGCCTGTGAAGAGGATACTTTAAGGGAAATGTGCTTTAACTGAGGGCAAGAAAAGTTTGAAGACTTTTAGAATAATTGCTTTGGGCTGTGAACATTTTACATCACTACCAGATTTTTCTGTACTGTGGAAGGGAAAATATTTGTAGGGAAAAAAGAGGAGAAATAAAAATGACTTCTTTTCTTTCTTCTTAAAAGGAAGCTGAGAGGTATGCAGCGAAATCTGGCTGGAAAGTTGGTTCGATTGAGTGCTCTGGTAAAAAGCAAGAAGAAAGCTTACTTCATTCTGTGTCTTGGTGAATTATCCCCAGTTGCCAGCCAGGCTGCCAACCATGTGTCCATCATTGTGCAGGTGAAGGTTAGGGTCAATTCAGTGATGAGGTGGGGAAGGGGTATTAGAACTTTTAATAGGAAAGATAACATAGAAAGAACAACATAGGGAAGGAGGACACCTGGGGAGAGCTGTTTTCTGTAATAGCCTTGTTGAGGGAAGAGTCTAAGTAATGTTGTTCCATAATGTCTATGTATGTAAGTAGGGGATAGATTTTTCTGCTGTGCAGTTCATTTGAGTTTTGTATTTCATGTGGCTTTTTAAAAAACTGCCACAATCCTGGTGGCTCATACCTGTAATTCCAGCGCTTTGGGAGGTGAAGACGAGAGAATTGCCTGAGCCCAGGGGTTCGAGACTAGCCTGGGCAACTTGGAGAGACTTCGTCTCTACAATGCATCAAAAAATTAACTGGGCGTGGTGGTGTACACCTGTAGTTTCAGCTACTTGGAAGGCTGAGGTGGAAGAATTGCCTGAACCTAGCAGGTTGAGGATATGGTGGCCATGAGTGTGCCACTGTACTCCGGCCTGGGCTACTCCAAAAAAAAAAAACCTGCCACAGTCACTTGTTTTTTCCCTGCATTAGGAGGATGACCAAGCAAATAATTCATCTTAATATTGTTAAGATGTTGAATACATGTTTTGTTTTTTGAGACAGAGTCTCATTCTGTCACCCAGACTTGAGTGTGCAGTGGTGCAATCATAGCTCACTGTAACTTTGAAATCCTGGGCTCAAGGGATCTTTCTGCCTTGGCCTCCTAAAGTGCTAGGATTACAGGTGTGAGCCACTAGTGTGGCCTAAATACACGCATTAAAAAACAAAACAAAAAAACTTGTTACTTATTATTGACTCTTTCTACATCAACTGGTACAATTTTAAAATCATTAACTTTAGCCAGGCTCGGTGGCTCAGCCTGTAATCCTGCGCCTTTGGGAGGCTGAGGTGAGTAGATTGCCTGAGCCCGTGGGTTTGAGACCCGCCTGGGCAACTTGGCGAGACCTCATCTCTACAATAAATCAAAATGAGCCGGGTGTGGTAGCGCATGCCTGTAGTTCCAGCTACTCAGAAGGCTGAGGCGGAAGGATCGCCAGAGCCCAGCAGGCCGAGGCTATGGTGGCCGGGAGTGGCCACTGTACTCCAGTCTGGGTGACAGAGTGAGACTCCAACTCAAAAAAAAAATCATTAATTTTTATTCTGTTATTGTATGACTTATGTAATTATCTGAATAATGTTTCAAAGCATTCAAGGATGGAAAGGCTTTCTAACATGCATACTAAAAAAGGAAACCATGAAATTTATTAGTACTATAAGAATTTGTGTGTGTGTGTGTAAATGAAATGAACTTGAGTAACAGTGATTTGAGTATAAACTAAAAATGTTAAAACTGAAACTACTACCCAAATTTTCTTTCTTTCTTTCTCTCTTTTTTGAGTAGGAGTCTCACCCAGTCACCCAGGCTGGAGTGCAGTAGCACACTCACCACCACTGCAGCCTTGACCTGCTAATCCTTCTATCTCAGCCTTCCAAGTAGCTGGAACTACAGGCATGCACCACCATGCCCAGCTAGTTTTTTAATTTATTGTAGAGACAAGGTCTCACCAAATTGCCCAGGCTGGTCTTGAACCCCTGGGCTCAGGTAATCTTCTCGCCTCCACCTCACATAGTCCTGGGATTACAAGAATGAGCCGGGCTGGACTGCAGTGGCACGCTCACGCCACCGCAGCCTCGACCTGCTGGGCTCAGGTGATCCTTCCACTTCAGCCTTCCAAGTAGTTGGAACCACAAGCATGTGCCATCACCCCTGAATAATTTTTTTTATTTATTGTAGAGATGAGGTCTTGCCATGTTGCTCAGGCTGGTCTTGGTCCCCTGAGCTCAGGCAGTCCTTTCACCTCTGCCTCCCAAAGTGCTGGGCTTATGGGTGTGTGCCACTGTGCTTGGCCCAAATTTTCAATCTTGATTTTTTCCTCCAAGGTTAAAAAGGATCTTATATATATTTTTTTATATTAGAGTGTTTTAAATCTAGAGAGCATTAGAAAGTTCTGTGAAGAGTAGATTTGGCTTTTTCATGTATTCTATATCAAGGAAGAAATCTCTGAAAGGTGCTTTAATTTCTTCAGGGTGACCAAAATAGGGTAAGTCCTTCATGTAGTTTATAATCTTGTTGTAGATCCTATATAGTATTGATTTATAAAAAAAGCAGAGAATGATACAAAACAGGCCAGGCATGGTGGTCTACACCTGCAATCCAGGAGGCCAAGGTAGGAGGATTAGATAGATAGATAGATAGACAGACCTGCTGTGGTGATGCATGCCTGGAGTCCCAGCTATACTTGGGAGGCTGAGGTAAGAGGTTCACTTGAGCCCAGGAGTTCGAAGCTACAGTGAGCTGTGCTTGTATCACTGCATTCTAGTCTGGGTGATAGAGTGAGACTGTATGTTCGTTCTGAGATGTATAGTATAGTTTATAACTGCTATTGAAAGTCATCTAGAGTTTATTATGTGGAGGGAAGATTTATGAGGGAGTTTAGACTTGCTCTGGGTCTTTTTTTTTTTTTTTTTTGTTGAGTTGGAGTCTCACTCTGTTGCCCAGGCTGGAGTGCAGTGACATGTTCACAGCCACTGCAGCCTCGACCTGCTGGGCTCCGGTAATCCTTCTACCTCAGCCTTCCGAGTAGCCGGAACTACAGGCATGTACTACCACGCCCAGCTAATTTTTTATTTATTTTAGAGACGAGGTCTCACCAAGTTGCCCAGACTGGTCTCGAACCCGTGGACTCAGGCAATCCACTCACCTTGGCCTCCTAAAGTGCTGGGATTATAGGCTGAGCCACCCAGCCTGGCCGCTCTGAGTCTTGAAGGATGGATAGGATTTGAATTGCTGAAAGAGAGGGGAGGATATTCTGGACTAGAAAATCACCAACATTCAACCTTTACTAAGTACGTGCTATATGCTAGGCACCTTGGTCAGTTAGAGGCACAAAATTGCTTAAGATGATGACTTTTGTCCTCTAGAAACTTTCAACCAGATGGTGAGTCAGCAACTACTGTGCAGGATTTTTTTTTTTTTTTAATTGGAGTCTCATTCCATCACCCAGGCTGGAGTACAGTGGCATGTTCCCAGCCATTGCAGCCTTGATCTGCTGGGCTTAGGCGATCCTCCTTCCACCTCCTTCCAAGTAGATGGAACTAGAGGCACACACCACCATGCCCAGCTAATACTTTGAAAAATTGTAGAGATGAGGTCTCGCCAAGTTGTCTGGGCTGTTCTTGAACTCGTGGGCTCAGGCAATCCCCTCACCTCGGCCTCCCAAAGTGCTAGGATTACAGGCTTGAGCCACCACTCCTGCCCTGTGCAGGATCATAAGGGCAGTGGTAGATACATGCACATGCGTAGGCACTTTGAGAGTGCAAAGGTGGGCTTTGGAGTAAGCCTGTGAGGTCAGGGGAAGAGGGGTGTTGGTATATGTTTATAGACTACTAAAGACACACATTAGAGACATTATCACTCTACATGATCCCATTGAATCTCTTCTGTTACAGAGGAGCTGAGGTCATCTCTTGGAAATGAAGGACTAGATTCTGAAAAGAGGAGGAAAGATTCAGGGTAAATGCTGTACTAGATAGCTGGGGAGAAGAGATTGCTAAGCAGTAGTAGGGCCTAGCTGGAGAAAGTCAGTATCAATGCTTGACTGAGTGGCATGAATCTGTCTTCCTCAAGTATAGGGCTTTTGCTTTTGAAAGTTGGCCAGGCACGGTGGCTCACGTCTGTTATCCCAGCACCTTGGGAGGGAGGGGCAAGAGGATTACCTGAGCCCAGGGTTTCGAGACCAGCCTGGGCAACTTGGTGAGACCTTGTCTCTACAATAAATTAAAAAATTAGCTGGGCATGGTGGCGCATGCCTGTAGTTCCATCTTCTTGGAAGGCTGAGGTAGCAGGATCGCCTGAGCCCAGCAAGTTGATGCTGTGGTAGCTGTGAGCATGCCACTGCTCTGGGCGACAGAGTGAGACTCCCAACTGAAAAAAAAAGGTTGAGGAAGCAAAGTGTTGTGGTGATATATGAACAGGCTCTAGGGTAGAGGGTAAAAAGGCCAAGATTAAGAGGTTGGCACTCAGATCCTGCCAGATATTCAGATGGGGGAGGGAAAGACCTCAACTTCTGAGTGAAGGAGAGGGGCTAAGATATTAGAGGTCCCAATGAGAGGTTAGAGGACAAGTTTAATGAGCGTGGGGGGAGGTACCAGTATTCCTTCACTGTTTGTTTAATCAAGCCATTATTATTATTTTGGATCCAACCATTATTGATTTGTTTTGTGCCAGGCAGTAAGTTTAAGTAAGCTCTTAGCAATACCTTAGGATGAGTTGTGGCGTCCGAGGTCTGATTGGTGGGACTCAGCTGGTTTTAGAGTCGAAATGGAGGTGTATAAAGCTAAACTCAGAGGACTGTGAAGTTCAAGTGTCTTGAGTCATCGGTGTGTTTTGAAGTCCCTGAGAAAGGCAGCAGTACTATTATGCCTATTGGAGGAGCACACCCTTAGAGATTGTTATATTTATAAATAGCTTATCCAGGAAACTTTCTTCTTTGTGCTTAAAATTCTTCAAAAATCGCCCTACAATTTTCCTTCTCCAGTCTATTGTATACCTTGCATGGCATTTCTGGGCTTTTGTCCTCACCTTGACTCTGCCATCTTGTCTTCTGCAACTCCCAACAACATGCCCTCTTCTCCACCCTGGTCAGTGTTTTCAATACCCCCAAACCATGCCTTGCTCATTCTGGATTCTGAGCATTTCTATGTTGTTGGCTCTCCTTGAATCATCCTTCTCTCTCCTTTCCTTTTAGACAAACCAGGGCCCTTTTCAAGTTCTACCATTAGGTGTTCCTGATTATTCTAGCACATCTTGACTTTCTCTTGCTTTCTAAATGCTTATTGTTTTTGACACTTGACCATATATGATTCCATTTTATTATTTAGACTTGTGTATGTGTTATGAGTGGTTTGAAATATGTTGAAGAAGAGGAACAGTTTATTGTACTTCCCTTGACATCTATCCCCAATACGTGTGTGTGTGTGTGTGTGTGTGTGTGTGTGTGTGTGTGTGTGTGTGTGTCGGGTTCTCACTTTGACTAGAGTGCAGTGGTACACTCGCAGCCACCACAGGCTTGAATTGCTGGGCTCAGGCGGTCCTTCCACTTTAGCCTTCCAAGTAGCTAGAACTATAGGTATGCACCACCACACCTGGCTAACTTTTCAATTTATTGTAGAGACAAAGTCTCATCAAGTTGCCCAGGCTGTTCTCGAACCCCTAGGCTTAGCAGTCCTTTCACCTCCGCCTTCCATAGTGCTGGGATTACAGGTGTGAGCCACTGCACCTGGTTTCCGAATACATATTGATTATATGAATGAACGTTGTTTGTTTTTGTTTGTTTGTTTGTTTTTTGAGTTGGAGTCTCACTCTGTCGCCCAGACTGGAGTACAGTGGTTGCTCCCGGCCACCGCAGCCTCAACCTGCTGGGCTCCAGCGATCCTTCCGCCTCAGCTTTCCAAGTAGCCGGAATTACAGGCACGCGCTACCATGCCCGGCTGATTTTTTTGATTTATTGTAGAGATGAGGTCTCACCAAGTTGCCCGGGCAGGTCTCGAACCCGCGGGCTCAGGCGATCCACTCACCTCAGCCTCCCAAATGCGCGGGATTACAGGCTGAGCCACTGAGCCCAGTTTATGAACGTTGTTTGTATGTTATGGAGTAGGTTATGGGAAATGTTGGCTAGGGCATACTTTTCTCAATGGGATATTTATGTATTTTTTTCTGCCCTGGCCCGTATACCAACTTTTATGGGGTGTTTGTTTGTTTGAATCAGAGTTTCACTCTATTGCCTAGGCTGGAGTGCAGTGGCATGCTCACAGCTACCACGATCTCCACCTGCTGGGCTCAGGCGATCCTTCCAACTCAGCTTCCAAGTAGTTGCAACTACAGGTGCATGCCATCATGCCCTGCTAATTTTTTAACTTATTGTAGAGATGAGTTCTTGCCAAGACCCAGGCTGGTCTTGAAACCCTAGGTTCAGGCAATCCTCTCCTCCACCTCCTAAAGTACTGGGATTATAGTATGAGCCACTGCACCCAGTAACATTTATGTATTTTGAAGGAAGTTTTAGGGATGGTTTGTATCTTGGGGACGGCATTAGGAAATATTTGGCATCTCCTGTGAGAAAAGAGAGATTCTGAATGTTCTGTGGTCTAAGATTTAATTGGCAAACAGAGACCATGAAGAGACGAGGAAAGACTCATAGGGAATAAGGTCAAATCATGATGGAAAGGGACCCCGGCAGAGGGGCAGCACTGGGGCAAGTGTCTCATGTGTCATGTTGTCTGTCTTTGCACAAACCAGGTCCCCGCCCAGCTGGTGTGGCACCGAGCCCTTTGGCCCGGTAGGGCCTATGTGCTGACAGAACTGCGAATATCCAAGACCCGTGATCACTGTTCCTGTGTTTGGATGACCAGTCCCGCCTCTCGTCTGTTGCTACTGAAACCAGAATGTGTGCAGGAGTTGGAACTGAAGCTGGAAGGACCCCTCTTGGAGGCTGATCGCCAGCCACTCCCCATGCCCAGCAACTCCCAGGACAGGAAGGGGCAAACAGGTCTTGTCCGGAACTCCAGACTCTTATCATATTCGGTGAGCATAGAAAGGGATCCTAGAGCTTGAGGGGCAGGAAATGTGGGTCTCCAAAGAGGAAGGTAGTAGTAGTCAACCATACTTCTGGTCTTCTTGCAGGGAATGGTTACTGGCTTGCTGAATGAGTCCGCGGGCCTCTACGAGCTGGATGGGCAGCTTGGGCTCTGCCTTGCCTACCAGCAGTTCCATGATCTCAGGCGGGTGATGCGACCAGGGGTCATTCTGGAGGTACGTGAAGTCAGGGCTAATGACAACAAGAGTTCCTCTCAGCAGCTTTTCTTACTTTCATGAGCTGATTTTCTTTTTCCCCTGTACTAGGGTGATTACTTCTACAGCAAAAATATGCAAATAAAAAGTGTATGTTGGGGCAAGACACTTGTTAACAATGGACAGAAACTTAGATTGAAAAGGAGTATTCTCAGGCACTGTGAGGGGGGATTGAGGCCAGCATCTCCTTCACAGAAGGACCTTCCAGCTAGAGGAGGAGATGCCCAAAGCACAGGTATAGGGCATGGATGACCACAGGCAGCCTGGTGAGAAGCCTAACCCATGCCTACCCATCCAGGAACCACCAGCCCCAAAGCAAGAGTAGAGCTCTTGGGAGATGAAGGCTGACTGCAGTGGGAGTGGGTTGTGATGGAAGGTGAGGCCAGCCAGAGTAGGAGAAATTGTGCTTCTTTTTCCTGGAACTCAGGCAGTGGACACTGCAGTTCACTCTGCCTGGGGTCATTGAGTGGGGGCTTTGTCTCTACTTTTTCACTTTTTCTGCTTTTCCCCAGCTCCAGGATGTTCACCTCCTCCAGTCAGTGGGTGGAGGGACAAGAAGGCCGGTGCTAGCCCCCTGCTTGCGTGGTGCTGTGCTACTTCAGGGCTACTCTCGTCAGAAACCTGAGACTCAATCATCCCACCAAGCCCATGGGGCCTCCCTATATGAGCAGCTGGTGTGGGAACGTCAGTTAGGACTTCCCCTTTACCTGTGGGCTGCCAAGGCCCTGGAGGAGCTGGCCTGCAAGTGAGGAGGATGAGAGTCTGTGGTTGGGAGGTGTTGGGAGTAGGACATTTCCTCTACCAGGAAAGCAGGAGCCTGGAAGAGACAGGGTCTTTGGGGGAGTTAACTACACTTCTTTCCCTGGCCAAGGCTGTGTCCCCATGTGCTAAGACACCGCCAGTTTCTGCAGCATTCCTCTCCTGGGAATCCCAGCCTGGGACTGCAACTCCTAGCTCCTACTCTGGATCTTCTAGCTCCGCCAGGCAGCTCCATGCGGGATGTGTACCATGAGATCCTTGGAGAGCCACATCACTGTCCCCTCCGGAAAGTATGAGGGTGTGGGGGAAAGATGGGTGGCAGAGCTAACACACTGGAGGACACCAGGACACATGGGGTACACAGCCTGACTTTGCTTTTCTCCCTGACAGTATGCTCGGCTGCAGACCCCCTACTCCTTCCCCACTCTGGCCACCTTGAAAGAGGAAGGGCAGTGCAGGGCCTGGGCCTCCTTTGACCCTAAGGCCCTTCTGCCCCTCCCAGAGGCCTTTTACCTGCTCAGCTGCCAACTTAATCACCGCCTGGCCTGGTCCTGGCTCTCTCTGCTGCCCTCTGCCTTCCACCCAGCTCAGGTAAGGGGCACCAGCAGAGCTCAGGAGACTTCCTCTTTTTGCCATGTTGCTGTCATTTTTTTTGTCATTTTGACTATACTGACCTTCTACACAGACTGACTATTGCATCTGTTTTGTCCCCTTCCGATTTGTTCTTTCTGTAGCAACTAGAAAGAGGGAATTAAAATTTAACTTGGATTACAGCACTGTCTTGTTTAAATCCTTTTCATGTTTTTCCCGTGCATATAAAATAAAACCAAACTTCTTACGTCCTGTGAGGTCCTGCATGGTTTCTTTTTTCTGTGTGTGTGTGTTGGAGTCTTACTCTGTCACCCAGACTGGAGTGCAGTGGCATGCTCTTGGCCACCGCAGCCTTGACCTTCTAGGCTCCAGTGATCCTTTCGCCTCAGCCTTCCAAGCCTTGGAACTGCAGGCTCACGCTACCATGCCCAGCTAATTTTTTTGATTTATTGTAGAGATGAGGTCTCGCCAAGTTGCCCAGGCAGATCTCAAACCCGCGGGTTCAGACGATCCACTCACCTCAGTCTCCCAAAGCACGGGATTATAGGCTGAGCCACCGAGCCCAACCTGCATGGTTTCTTAACTCTAACCTCAACTTGTGTCCTTTCTCTCCTTACTGAATGTGTGAATGCATGTTTGCTTTTTAATATCTGCCATCCCCACTTGAATATAAGTTCTTTGGGGTCAAAGACTATGTCTTTTTTTGTTCATTTTGTTGTAGAATTTAACACAGTTCCGGCACATGGTAAATGCTCAGTATTTGGTAAATAAACATTTGATGCCTCTGTCTTTATCTTCTTGCAGGTTTTAATTGGGGTTCTAGTGGCTTCATCTCGTAAAGGTTGTCTGCAACTTCGAGACAAAAGTGGTTCCTTGCCCTGCCTGCTCCTGGCCAAGCACTCACAACCTGTCACTGACCCACGGCTCATAGGTTTGGGGTTCAGATGTGGAAAGATGAAGGTGGTAGGGGGGTAACTCTCAGAACCAGGGAACCTGAGAGGAAGCTTCTTCTGGAATTTACTAGAAAAGCTGAAGTGATACATATTGATGAACAACTTTTGGGACAAGTTTGGGAGTCTGGTGTGGCAGGCAGAGAAAAGGAGCAAAAGAACCTCTAACCAGAATTCCAATTCCCAGCGTGCATTTTTGTCACCATAGCTCTTTTTTTTTTTTGAGTTGGAGTCTCACTCTGTCACCAAGACTAGAGTGCAGTGACCGCTCCTGGCCACCGCAGCCTCGACCTGCTGGGCTCCAGTGATCCTTCCGCCTCAGCCTTCCAAGTAGCTGGAACTACAGGCATGCGCTACCACATCCGGCTCATTTTGATTTATTGTAGAGATGAGGTCTCGCCAAGTTGCCCAGGCGGGTCTCGAACTGGTGGGCTCAGGCAGTTCACTCACCTCGGCCTCCCAAGGTGCGGATTACAGACTGAGCCACCGAACCCGGCCACCATAGCTCTTGATGTGCACACCAGGAGTACAACTCCTGTTTCCTACATTTTTGGTTTGGAAGAATAATGGTCTTATTTGGGCTTACTGGAATTTGTAGCCTGGGAAACCCTGGAGAGGAAAGTTTCTTAGATTTAGGGACAGACATTTTAGGGATTTGTGAGAAAGTACAATCAAGGCCGTTTAGCCTCTGAGGCTAGGAGCAGGATTAGACATGATTAGGCAGATGGAATGGTTTCGCCTTGGAGGTGTCATTCCGCTAAGGTAGGGGTCAGGTGTGGGCTTTCTCATTGCATTAGGGGAGCAGCTCTGGCCTGCAGGGTGGGCGATGAGACCTGTGGGGTGGTCTGCCTTATTGCTCACCTCACAGTTTTCTTTTCATGCTGAAATGGAAAACTTTTTTCCTTTAGGTTGCCTAGTACGGACAGAGAGGTTTCAATTGATTATAGAGAGGGACGTCAGAAGCAACTTTCCTTCCTGGAAGGAGCTGAGTATGCCAGGCTTCCTCCAGAAGCAGCAGGCCAGGTTGGCACATTGGGGTAGTGGTTGTACTCTGAAGTCTGAGCAAGGGCCTGGTACCGGTGGTAGGATACTGGGCCCCAAAACACCCAGTACCTGCATTACTAAGAATTCTGTTTTTTTATCTCTTCCAACAGAGTCTACGTCCAGTTCTTTCTGACTGATGCTCTGATCCTGTCTGTGCCCAGATCCTTTCTCCATTCAGCCACCCTCTCAACACCTCCTCAGACAGATCCTACCTGCTCAGAGGGACCCTGCATAGTACAGAGCCGGCTTTTCTTGCTGTCCCACAAAGAGGCCCTCATGAAGCGGAATTTCTGTGTCCCCCCAGAAGTCAGTTCAGAGGTGCCCAAGCCCACTCTCAGTTTCCAAGTTTCGGGGATCTGGCTTAGAGGCACCCAGAGGAAGGAGGGGACTGGATGGGGGCCACCTGAACCCCAGGGAGATGAGGACAAGGATCAGAAGGTAAACTGGGACTCCAGGGACCTCCTGTGCCCCACGCCCCTGGCTGGGGCTAAAACACCTTGCTCTCTTTCCTCAAAGGTTCTCCTCATCTTCCTTGGCTCTTCAGTCCGCTGGTTTGAGTTCTTACATCCAGGGCAGATATACCGGCTCATAGCTCCTGGCCCCACTGTGAGTACTCTGCTTCATCATACTGTTTCCCAGAAAGTTTTTTTTTTTTTTTTCCATTGGGGTCTAAAGAGGATATACCAGTGCCTGGTCACTCTCTAGATCTCCTGGGAAAAGGCTGAATCTAGATAAACTAGAAGGCCTGTCTGTGGCAGCACACCTCATTCTTCATGCTCCAGAAAGAAAACAGAATTGGGTCAGAGTATTTAACCTTTCTCTGGACTAGGACACATCCAGAGGTAGTTGTCTTCCCATTTCCTGGCAGACACCAGTGCTGTTTGAGAAGGATGGTTCATCCTGCATATCTCAGCGTCCCCTGGAATTGGCTGGCTGTGTGTCCTGCCTCACTGTCCAAGATGAGTGGACTCTGGAGCTTGAGTGCTCTCAGGACATCCCAGACGGGCTGGGTACAAGCAAAGCACTGCCTGAATCCTCGCTGACTGAACTGCTCAGTGGCAAGTAAATGTCGACCAGCCTCTCTGGTTAATTTGGCCACTCTCTCTTGCCCTGAGCTAGCTGGGTTTGGTGAACGGTCTGTTCTCTGCTGCAGCATGTGTTTCTTTTTTCATTTCTTTGTATTTTATAGAGACGAGGCTCTCACTTTGTTGCTCAGGTTGGAGTGCAGTGGCTATTCAAAGTTATAATTAGCCAGGCATGGTGGTTCAAGCTTGTGATTCCAGCACTTGGGGAGGCCAAGGCGAGAGGATTGCCTGAGCCCGTGGGTTCGAGACTAGCCTGGGCAACTTGGTGAGACCTCGTCTATACAATTAAAAAAAAAATTAGCTGGGCATGGCAGTGCGTGCCTGTAGTTCTAACTACTCGGAAGACTGAGGTAGAAGGATCACCTAAGCCTGGCAGCTTGAGGTTGTGGTGGCCGTGAGCATGCCACTGTACTCCAGTTTGGGTGACAGGGTGAGACTTCAACTCAAAAAGAAAAAGAAAAAGTTATAATCATGGAACGCTGCAACCTTGATATCCTGGGCTCAAGTGATCCTCCTGCCTCAGTCTCCTGAGTAGCTAGGACTACAGGTACACACCACTGCATTTAGCAACTTGTGTTTCTTTAATGTGATTTGGTTGGTAGAGGAATGATGTCAGTGTAGGAGGGAAGTTGTGTTTTATAGCTGATTTTCCCCCCAGCATGTTATTGTTTTATTTATTTATTTTTTATTTTATTTTATCTTATTTTTTTATGTTACTGTTTTCAAATGATCACAAGCAAGCTTTCTCACAGTTAAGGAAATGCCTTAGCAATGAAAGGAAATGTAAGAAACAAAATATAGGTGGGGCTCGGTGGCTCGGCCTGTAATCCCAGCACTTTGGGAGGCTGAGGTGAGTGGATTGCCTGAACCCATGGGTTTGAGACCAGTCCAGGCAACTTGGTGAGACCTCATCTCTACAATAAATCAAAAACTAACTAGGTTGTGGTAGCAGACCTGTAGTTCCGGCTGCTTGGAAGGCTGAGGTGGAAGGATCGCCAGAACCCAGCAGGACAATGCTGGTGTGGCCGTGAGTGTGCCACTCCTCTCCAGCCTAGGCCACAGAGTTAGACTCCAACTCAAAAAAAAAAAGAAAAGGCAAACAAACTGAACCTTGAGAAGGGCCCTTCTTTAGTGCAAGAAGTGGCTGACTTATGGCCTTGGGAACAACTAGACTTATCTCATGTAAGCTTTTTGGGGTATCTGCAGCTACCAACAAAAAAGCTGTAGAGCTATTTCCTCCTATGTTTAAAAAAAAAAAGAACTATGTATGTAAAGAACTGTGTATGAAACTATTATAAGTGAATGGTTTTATGGAAACAAGTAAAAGTGAATGTTTTCAAGGACTTGTGTTTTTAAAGAGAGGGCATGAGCCCTGATATGTAAGACTGCAAATAATGGACTAAGGTTCTAGGTGTAAGTGCAAGTGGAGATTTACCTCTGCTGGTAAGGCGTCTGGTTACAATGTAGGTTTTGAATGATCTGCCGCAGCCATATCTTTCCCATAAGCCCTGTTACTTTCAGTGTGTGATTTGGCAGAGCTTGAGGTCTTACAGGACTTTGCTTATGAAGTTCTAGCAGATACCTGAGCTCCATTTTCTGTCCTTTGATCTGACTCTCTCCATTATATGCTTTCTTGGGCCCCATTCTCAGTGTATTTTTCTGACCTTCCAGCTTCACCGATTCCTTGGTGTCTTTCTCAGCTGAGATTTTGTCACGGACACTGTGTGAACCTCTTCTGGCCCCTCTCTGGATGAAGTCTGGTAATGACCCCTGCTTTGGGGAGAAAGTGTGAAATACAGTGATGGGACCCTGTGGTCCTTGCAGATCTCGCTAACTCACCCTTCCTTCTGTAGGGAACACTGGAGCCATGAGAGGGTGTGTGAAGCTAACTGTAGCTCTAGAGCCTGCTGACTGTGAGTTCCCACCTTACCTGGATGTATATATTGAAGACCCACACTTGCCTGTCTCACTAGGACTCCTTCCAGGAGCCCGGGTCTACTTCGGCCAGCTGGAGAAAAGGGTTTCCAGGTGAAGATCTGGGGAGTTTGGCCGGCCTCCTCTCCCTATTGACGGGGTTCTCTTTAAAGCTCACCCCCACCTAACAGTGCTGCAGTGGCCCCTTCTCTTTCTGTATGTCAGCCTGCCATTTGTGCTCGCGACCCTCATGAGGTGTTGCAGGTTAGTCCTGCTCTTGTTCTTCCCCCAGCTTTGGCAGGGCCATGGCCAGGGCATGTTCCTCAGTTGGAGTAGCCAACCTGTGGTGCATGATCTCCGAGTTCCAGCTTCTACCCCAGTTTGACTTTTTTGTACTCTTCATCACTATTCCTCTTCCACTTGCAGATCCCACAATGTTTACTGTTGTTTCCGGTCATCCACTTATGTGCAGGTCCTGAGTTTTCCTCCGGAGACCACAGTTAGGTCAGTGCCCCAGGCCCTGACCCCTAAACTTCATGGCCTCACATCTGAATCCCCCACATGTCCCTGGTCTGGAACTTCTGCCGTCACTACAGTCTTCACCAATCCCAGCAGAATGTATTGAGTCATAGGATTTCTCCTCTATCCCAAATAAAGAAATGCTCAATACCTATCGTTTTATCTAGAATGATTTAGTGTTCTAGGCTTTCGAAGGCTTTTTAGTCTAATATGTATTTCTTGGTTAACATTATGGTGTTTGAGCCTGAAAAATAATTGATGACTATCAGATCAGGAATCAAGATGGGGGTGTGGCCTCCAGGAGCTGTCCCCATCCCTGTGCCTGCTAAGTTCTTACAGACCCACCTTGGTTTCAGAACCCTTTTGTCTGTTTCTTGATCCCTGTCTCTCTCTCTCTTTTCAGTGTTCCCCTGCCCCACATATACCTGGCTGAACTTCTGCAGGATAGCCGTGCCCCATTTCGGGCAACTGCCTCTTGCCATATTGTTTCTGTCTTCAGCCTTCAGCTCTCCTGGGTGTGTGCACATTGTACCAGCATCTGCTCCCAGGTATGGAGGGGACAGGCTGAACTTGGTGTGGAGTGCCGGTTGTGATGGCATCAAGAGGATTTTTACAACCACTGTCTTCGTTACAGGGACGCTGCACTCGTCAGGGCCCCTCTTGCCCTACACAGACAGCTGTTAGCCAGGCCAGTATCAGGTGAGAGCACAAAGCGGGTGCTCGTTGCCCTGTTGACATTCTTATTAGACGACTTCGTCTGTCTGCATAATTTCTGGCTGATGGGAGTGGCTTAATAAATATTTTTTGAATGAATGGATGAGGGTAAAGTGATCTAAAGACTAGAAACTGTGGGGAGGGAAGCATGCTGGCTCCATGACACTGGCCACCTATGTTGCTGAGGAGTTTTTATTTCCCCTCCCTTCCTGCAGGGTCCTGGTAGAGGATGGGACTGCTGAAGCTGTGGTGACCTGTAGGAATCATCATGTTGCAGCAGCACTAGGGCTGTGTCCTAATGAGTGGACCTCCCTCCTAGAGTTTGTCCACGTACCAGGGAGAGTGGCTTTGCAATTTACAGGGCCTGGAGCCCAGCCTGAGGTGAGATGTGTTGGGAGCTGTGGGGGCTCAGATGTCTAGATTCCTGGGGCTTTGGTAGAGGACTCAGGAGCTTAGGTTGTGGTTAACTCTGAGTTTCCCTTTCTAGTGCTCAGCCAAGATTGATGAGCTGTTGACCCTCTTCCTCCAGACGCTTTGTACCAGCCCCTCTGTCCTCCGCCCTATTGTGCTTTCTTTTGAGCTTGAGAGGAAACCTTCCAGGATCGTCCCATTAGGTAAGGGTGGAGATGGGGGTGAGAGCTCATGATGGTACAGATAGGTGGGTCCCTGAGAAGAAGAGGGATGGGGCATTTCTGGAGTTGGGGAGGAGAATGGTGGATGAGGCTAAAAACTGCATACATAGGACTTACGTTTTTCATGTCTTCCCATCTCAGAACCTCCTCGGCTACAGCGATTCCAGTGTGGAGAGCTCCCTCTCCTGACTCGTGTGAATCCTAGGCTCCGACTATCCTGCCTTTCTATCCAGGAAGTAGAGCACTTCAGCTCTCTGGGGGTCATTGCTTCCTCCTGCTAACCTGAACTTCAAGGATGTCCTGAGAGTTCTTCCTGCCTTGCAAGAAACCTTGAGGCCTGAGTCCCAGCTCTTCCTCCTTGTCATGACCCCTACCTTTTTTTTTTTTTTTTTTAATGAGACAGGATTTCACTCTGTTTCCCAAGCTGGAATGCAGTGGCACGATTACAGCTCACCACATCCTCAACCTCCTGGCCTCAAGCAATCCTCCTGCCTCAGCCTCTTGAATAACTGGGAACTGTAGGCATGCACCACCATGCCTGGCTAATTTTTATTATTTTTTGTAGAGAAGAGGTCTTGCTTTGTTGCCCAGGATGGTCTTGAACTCTCCTGGCCTCAAGGGATCCTCCTACCTTGGCCTCCCAAAGCGCTGGGATTACAGGCATGAACAACTGTGCACGCCATGACCTCTGCTTTCTCCCTGATACACAAACTGCTGCTCCGCTGTAATTTCTCCTCCTTGATATTCTGGTGCCAGCTTGCCTTGGGGAAATTGTGGAAACGGGCAAATCATGGTGTTATTGATACTTCCTCTCTGATTGCACCCACAGATGATCCTGAACATGTGAATTCTGCCTTTGTGGCAGGTGCTGGAGGAAAAAAAGACTTGCCCCTTGTGGGGGTGTGATGACATGCCCTTTGGCCTGCAATAAAGCTCTCCCGTGACGTTTTTCTCATGTGCTCATCTCTGGATTCCCAGACCTGACTTCAGCTGCTAGTCAATCATTTCAGCCTTTGAATGCTAGCAAGACTAAAGTTGAAAAGTGATTTGGAGGAGCAGAGCTTCTGCTCCAGCAGAATAAATTATACCAGAGTCAGTCCTTAAAGGGAGTAAATTGGGGAGTTGGGGGCAGGGTAGAGAACATGACTATGAAGGTCTGAGTCAGCAAGGCTGGACCAGCAAGAAGTCCAGTATGAGAGCCTAGAGTTGCTGAGAAGCACAAGATGTGTGTAGGAGAAGGCAAGCACTGAGCAGGAGGAGGGGTGTGTGAGGAAACTGGGTACCTGTGCTAGAGGGTCCCAGCTAAGGGTTAGTACTGTCTGTCCCGAGGGCCAGGCCTAAGGCGTATCCTTGAATGACACCATGAAGTCGGCAGCAACTTCTGAGTTACAACCCACAGAATTGGGGAATTCAGGAGCAGCTATTTGGGGTGCTCATGTGTTTGGTTGGTGTTCCCCATTTCTTTACTGGGAGCTGCTCCACAGAAAGGTACAGCTTTTAGAGCTGCCCAAAAGGCATTTCTTCCTAGCTATTAGGGATCAATTCCGGTTTATATTTGGGAGGCTTATGGATCATGGTTAGTCCCATAAAATAAAGTAGGTTTCAGAATACCCATAGTTTAACTGCACTATATGTAAAGACCCTAGTGAATACTGGACGCAGCTGGCCGGTTAGCTCAGTTGGTTAGAGCGTGGTGCTAATAACGCCAAGGTCGCGGGTTCGATCCCCGTACGGGCCAGTTAGGTATGCTTTTGTTGCTAAAACCTCTGCTGTCACCTGAGGAAGTTATTGCTCAGAGCCAGCTGCCTTCTGATCGCAGAACATTGCGTCTACTGCTTCTCAAAGCATTAATTGCTAGCGCTCCGAAGACTTGAAAAGGAGTTTGCTGGGCTGGGGTGAAGGGAATGTCGTTCTATGGGAAGGAGCGTGTTGCTGGAGGCCAGTGGGAGAAAGGGGAAGATAGGGACAAGGATCCCAGAAAGGCGGAGTGTTGTGAGATACAGTGGAGCACTAAGGGAAAGGTCAATTCTGGTTCTTTTCTGCCCTGACGTTCTCGCCATCCGGTCTCCTAGCTCTAGCAGTCCCGAAACCGAGAAAATGGCAAGAGGGCGAAAACGTTTGCCGGGCATGGAAGATAGAAAAGCATAGGATAAGAGCTTCCCTACCGTCTTGTAGTCGTGGCCGAGTGGTTAAGGCGATGGACTAGAAATCCATTGGGGTCTCCCCGCGCAGGTTCGAATCCTGCCGACTACGCGATGTTTTTTCTGCGCCAGAATCTTCATTACGATTCTCTTCTCCAAGTTTAGAAATCCATACAGTCGGCACCTTCCAAACCCCGGTCTTGGAATTCTCGAGTCCGGGGAGTTCCCCACCCACGCACTTCTGACCAGCTTTGATATCTTTGATTCACTTCTTTCAACATCGGAGGAAGTTCTACGGATGGATGAGTGACGCAAAATCCGGGCCATCCGCCAAATTAGTTTCAGAGAGCTCTGAGGAGAGGGGAAAAAATAAAACAAAATAAAGCTCTGCCCAGGCTCCTTGCACTATTTTCCTGTAGAGTAGCTTCAGAAAGGAGTTGCAGAGCCTTGGCGCCGTGGCTTAGTTGGTTAAAGCGCCTGTCTAGTAAACAGGAGATCCTGGGTTCGAATCCCAGCGGTGCCTTCCCTCGATGTGATGAGTTGGGTTTTCTGCTCTTTTGTGACTGTACCCCTATGCATTTATGAATTATTTTCATATCAGAGAGCGCGGGACTTTCAGGTCCAGGCTTAAGACCCCGTATCCTGTGCAGCTGAGCTGCCGCTGCCGTGAGACCGCAGCCTCGAAAGCCGGCCCTCTGGGGCAGGAATGTTTCACTGACTTGACAGTCTACCCAGCTGATGCCACATTCCACTTGCACAGGTGTACTAGCCCCTGCGATCACCCCACCCTTGGCGGGAGGGGACGCCCCAACGCGAGGCCCTTTCCCCCTCCCCTAGGATATCCCCTAGAACTTGAACCGCTTTGTTTTCTTTGGCTCTTCATTATATTTCTTTTGGTTTAGAGCCTCATGATTTTATACATCGTATAGAGTATAAAATATATACTTAAATATACAGTACTTCGAATTTGGTGCAGCTTCTAGGTGCAGTCCTGTTCCAGGTCTTTCGTGTGCATTTGCCTCCATTCCTCTCCACAAGCGGGAAGTTGGGCGGGTAGTAATAAGCAGGGATTTGGCTGGCCTGCTGCCATCTGGTTTCCTACAAGAGGGTGCTGAAGGCCTGGGACCATGCGGACAGGTGCCATTCGGGTGGGGTCTCCAGGGATCCTAGTGTGGAAGGACAGGGGGCATCTCTGGATCACTGAAGCAACAATGGTGAGGGCTGAAGTAAAGACTAGAGAGACGGCAAGAGGCAGGATCTGTTGGCAGGGCCTAACCCTATTGGCAGATAGGCAGAAAGCTCTAGACACCACCCCTTGGCCCAGGAACCACTGTGAGATGCCTGAACAAAAGACTTGGCTTGAAGGAACTGCCATCTCAAGGTCAAACAAGTGATGCCACACCTCTGAGGGAATTTGTGCCAAGCACTGGCCTGGACGCTGGCGCCTATGAATAAAACACAGCTCCTTTCTCCAGCACTCACAGGAAGACACAATCACAACACACTGCACTAAGGGCTTGGACAGGGTGCTGTGAGAACATGGAGAAGAGAAGTGGCACCTCATCCTGCCGGAGGCTGGAGGGTGGCCAGGGGAGAGGCAAAGGGAGAGGAATTAAGATTTAAAGACCATGTACTTACCTGGCAGGGGAGATACCATAATCACGAAGGTGGTTTTCCCAGGTTGAGGCTTATCCATTGCACTCCAGATGTGTTGACTCCTGCAATTTCCCCAAATGTGGGAAACTCGACTGCATAATTGTGGTAGTGGGGGACTGTGTCTGCGCTCACCCCTGGTTTTCATTGTTCAAAGATTAGGCTTTGTGTTCTATAGCGTGTAGCAGTGCGTCTAGTTACTTTTTGCCTTAGTAGTTTTCTAGCTTCATTTAAGAGTTCCTGTGTTGGACTCTGGTTCTTCCTAGAAACCGCATAGGCCTCAGGCTATTCAAAGAATTACCCAAACATGGATATCAGACCAAATCATACAATTTATATCAACAATATGAATGACAAAATTAAAAAAGAAGAATTGAAGAGATCCCTATATGCCCTGTTTTCCCAGTTTGGCCATGTGGTGGATATTGTGGCTTTAAAGACCATGAAGATGAGGGGGCAGGCCTTTGTCATATTTAAGGAACTGGGCTCATCCACAAATGCTTTGAGGCAGTTACAAGGATTTCCATTTTATGGTAAACCAATGTGAATTCAGTATGCAAAACCAGATTCTGATATAATATCTAAAATGCGGGGCACTTTTGCTGACAGAGAAAAGAAAAAAGAAAAAAAGCTAAAACTGTGGAACAGACTGCAACAACCGCAAACAAAAAGCCTGGCCAGGGAATGCCAAATTCAGCTAATACCCAAGGAAACACAACACCAAATCCCCAGGTCCCTGATTACCCTCCAAACTATATTTTATTCCTTAATAACTTATCAGAAGAGACTAACGAGATGATGTTATCCATGCTGTTTAATCAGTTCCCTGGTTTCAAGGAAGTACGTTTGGTACCTGGGAGGCATGACATTGCCTTTGTTGAATTTGAAAATGATGGACAGGCTGGTGCTGGCAGGGATGTTTTACAAGGATTTAAAATCACACCATCCCATGCCATGGAGATCACCTATGCCAAGAAATAACATCTGGGACAGTCATCTTTAAAGGACTTGGTGTCATTTACAGTGTTTGTTTTGATAACATTTGGTCAGGTCATTTTAATAGTTGGAGGTAGAGGGGCGTGAAAGTGAAATTTTTGTGAAGGACTTACGTTATCTAGCATTTCTTTAGCTTTAGTGAACTATGAAATATGAAGGCCTTAATTTTGTACAATAAACTTTTATTTGTAAAAAAAAAAAAAAGAGTTCCTGTGTTACTAAACTTACAAATAAAGTCTTTTCTGGGGTAGCAAAAAAAAAAAAAGACCATGTAGAAACTTGTCATATGTCCTGTTATGTGATAGACATTGTTCTGGGCTGATGAAAAGTTCTGCTCTACTGGAATTTATATTGGTGAAGGGGAGGGAGTAACAGACAATAAACACAACAAAGAATTTGTTCAATTAAATTATATAATATACTAGATAAATGCTACAATCAGAGAGTATGTTGGAAGTCCAGGGATTGGTTACAGAAATGCCAAAGGCTTGCACCAGGGCAACTGCAGAAAGAGATTCATTCAAGACATGCTTAGGATTTTCTTTTTTGAGTTGGAGTCCCACTCTGTCACCCAGG